CTAAAATATAACAAAGCACACAACACATGACTGTATTTCACGAGAATGTGAACGAGAGACAGACAAAGGGGAAGAATCGAGTCGTGCATACTAGATTGATCTATTCCAGCCTCCGGGGGCGGTAGACCATACATGCACGTCAACAGCTGTTGCATATTATATTGAGGCTGTTACCTTATTCCCAATGAATGAGCAGAGACAGATGTTGCATTACAAATAATGTACTGTTGATTTGCATGTTGCCTGAGGAATGTGCACACAATGGACAAGAGGCTCTCACTACTGTGCAGCTGTCACCACTAAGCAGCACCGTGCCTTTTAAACATCACTAGAAAGCAGCATGCATATACCACAGGACACTGCTGAGAAAACAAGTCACACAGACAGACTCACCTTCAGCTTGATGGTGCCTTTGTCTAAAATAAAAAAAAAAAAACAAAAGATAAATTAATGTGGAATATTTCCTCAGAGCTCGCTATAAACTTTCACATCATAGGTGACATGTATAATCATCAGTACAATACAGTCAATTGTTATGAGAGCCACTACACTGGTTGAGTTTGCCTGGAGGTTTTCAGCCCAGGATAACAGGACATCCAACTACATCCTGTCGCCCTGCCACTCTGGGCAGAGCTAGTACCATCTATTAATGGTTCTGTCAAACAAAATCACAGACAGTACACTAAGTTGCTGGTGGGTGGGGCTGAACTGATGCCTACAATCACATATAATGTCAATGAAAACCCCCGGCTGGTCAGGGACACAGTCAGGGCAGAGGTCAAACAGACCCACACTGTGGGTTCTTTAGTCTACGCTTATGTGCAGTATATGCCAACATACCTGCCTGTGTGATGAAGAAATCGCATGACAACTTATTCTCATAGCTGAACCTGTTAGTGCAAGTTTTCTTTCCAAAACTAATGCATAATGTCAGTGTAACACAAGCTTCAAGATGTGTCCTCACCGAACACAGAGCTGTGGCTGTGGGCAACTGTCTGTCCCTTCACCGTCAGTTGCATGTGGACAGGAGTTACTGCTTTTGCATTGAAGATGGTTATGCTCACACTCTCCTCTACGCCTGCTCGAAACACCGAGGGGGCTGCAACTAAATAACCCCTGAAAGGAGAGAGCAAAGGGGGAAAGAGGGATGAAGAAAGAGAGAACACAGGAGGGAGGACAAGGAAAGGATGGAGATGAGATGGAAGGAGAGCAGAGTATGCAGATGAGAAAAAGCAAAAGTGGTGGCAGGTGATAAAGGAGAGGTCAGAGAGACATAGATAAAAAGAGAAAGGGGGTAAACATATGATGCATTTGAATAAACACATATTGCATCACTGCCTGGATTTTAGGGGCAAACTAGTGCCAATATCACATACCATTCCTAATTTTAAGTAAATGTGGCAATGAGCTTTGGGTCATGACCGAAAGGGCAAGATCCCGGATACAGGCGGCCGAAATGAGCTTCCTCCGCAGGGTGGCCGGGCGCACCCTCAGAGATAGGGTGAGGAGCTCGGTCACCCGG